AGTCATATAATAGACTTGTCCTCGAGTTGTTAATGCGTCGATATTTCTTGGCTCAATGTTTAATGCTTTTGATAAGTTTTCAAGAGATTCATCATATTTTCCTAGTTTATAATAACTCCTTCCTAAATGTTGCAATGCAACCGCATCTTTAGGATCGATTTTTAATAATTGTGTCAATTTTTCTGAAGACTCTCTATACATTTTCTGCTTAAAATAGGATTGCGCCAGAAACCTTAACACATCTACATTTTTAGGATCAAAATCCAGTGATCTAGTTAAATCTATAATAGACTCATCATAGCGTTCCAAGATTTGGTATGTCTGTCCTCGAAATCTTAGTGAAATTGCATTATCTGGATCGATTTCTAAAGATCTAGTTAAATTTGTAAGTGACTCTTCGTAGCGTCCTTTCATGAAATATATTTGTCCTCGAAATCTTAACCCAACTGCATTGTTTGGATCAATTGTAATTAATTTATTAAAATCCACAAGGGATTCATCGTAGAGATTTAGAGCGTAATATGTTTGTCCGCGAGATTTTATCGCAATTACATTATTTGGGTAGTATTTCATAGATTTATTTAAATCAATAATGGACTCTTCGTAGCGTTTTAACATGTAATACGTTTGTCCTCGATCTATTAGCGCAAATGGATGATTTGGCTCTATTTAATGATTTACTTAAATCTTCAAGCGACTCATTATATTTCCCCAAGTTATAATAAGTTTGCCCTCGAGATCTTAAGGATTCTGCATCATCTGAGTTAAATTTTAGTGCTTTATTTAAATCTTTAAGTGAACTATTATAGTCACCACGCATGTAATATGCTTGTCCTCGGGCTCGTAATGCATCAGCATCTAAGTTGATGTTCAATGATTTCGTTAAATGTTTAATAGACTCTTCATAATTTTTCAGCTTATAGCAAGCCCTTCCTAGAAATCCTAACGTGATCGCATTGTTAGGATCATTAATCAATGATTTGGTTAAAATTTCAAAAGAATCTTGGTACTTCCCTAGGTCAAAATAAGATTGACCTAGAAATCTTAGCGCAACTGAATTGTCTGAATCAATTTCTAATGATTTAACTAAGTCTGCACGAGACTCTTCGTAGCGCTTTAACATGTAATATGTTTGTCCTCGAAATCTAAGCGCAGTCGCATTATGTGGATCAATTTCCAAAGACAATTGTAATTTTGAAAGAGAATCTACAAAATTCTCTTGCATATAATATATTTTTCCTAGAGATATTAGGGCAAATGCATTGTTTGGTTCAAGTTCCAATGATTTATTGAAGTCTTCAAGTGACTTTTGATATTTTTTTAACTTGAAATAAGTTTCTCCTCGGAACCTTAATGCATCTGCATCATTTGGATTAGAATTCAAAGACTTATTTAGTATTCATGTGATTCTTTATAATTCCCAGTCACATAGTAAATTTGCCCTTGAGACTTCAATTCGTCTGCACTGTCGAGCTTTTTCCGAAAGAAATATTTTGTTAACGATTTAGTAAGAGAATCGGAGCTTTTCGCACTAGAGCGTGATGGTCTTCTAGGTTTTTGTACTGATACTGCTCTTAATAAGTTTCTGGATAATTCATCATTATGCATATTTTTGTAAAATTGAGAACGTTCGCTTATTTTTTCATCTAATTCAGGTTTAAGCTCCCTATTGCTATTTATAATCAAGTGCATTGTTTCCTCTTTTGACATTAAATTAAGTTTCTCAAGAATTTTGTTTATTGTTGGACGTTCTTTTGGTTCAGAACTCCAGCATTTCTTATAGATATCGGAGTAACCCCTTGGTGTACCAGGAATTGTTGGTTCTCGGTAGCCTTCTAATGTTTGGATAATTATGGCAAATTCATTAATGGCATTAGCAAATGGAGGGATTCCGCTTGTAAGTTCCCAAAATATTACTCCTAAACTATAAATGTCTGATTTTTCATCTGGTTTTTTCCCGGGTTGACGATGACAATGTGGATCAAGATATGCTGGCATCCCTTTTAAAATGGAAGCTGAAGAAATATAAGTATCATCTATTTTTCTTGACAATCCAAAATCCGCAATTAAGAATTTATCATCATTTATTAAGATATTTTTAGAGTGCTTATAAATTAACAAACTATTATTAATTCTATTTCAGAGAATGAAAACTGACTGAAAATTAGAGTAATAAATACTTACCAAATCACAATGAATTATATTATTTTTGTGTAAATGTCCCAACCCGTTAGTAATTTGCTTTGAAATTTGGATAATTTCGTTTAATGAAATTCCAAAAGTACCACCGTGCCATTTTTTTTTTCAAATATTGCCGCGAGTTCCCTCCGTTAGCAAATTGTAGTACCAGCATGAATTTTGTGGTTTCAGGGTCTAATCAAATCATGGCTAGAAAGATTATTTAAAAAATATTTATTTAGGAACATGAAATGTATCATTACAATACCACGTGTTATTCCATAGAATTGATTGATGTTAGGATGATTACTAATAGCATGTAAATATTTAAGCTATAGCATATAAAAATTATTAGATTCTAGTAAGAGAACGGATATCGAAAATAATAAAAAAATACACCTCTCTAATGAATTCTTTGGTTGCTTCTTTATTCGTTTCATCATTGATAAAGCTTTTCAATGCAAACTTTTTCCCATTACAAAATGCCGAATAAACAATACCAAATCCCCCTTATATATTTTAATAATATAAATACAAGTTTATTAAAATAGTGCTTAATAAAACGTGAATAATTAAAAGGCCTTACCCTTTCCAATTTCCTCTCTATTTTCATAAGAATATTCAATTTCAGTAACATCATCGTCTTTTAAAATTTTATCAAACCATGTCTGGAGAATGATTGATTTCCTCATTTTTTTGGTTAGGACCGTGATACTAGGGTGCTGCCTTAATTGAAAATTCTACCAATTACTGTTAAATTTGCAGATTCTGTGATGTGCAAATAACGATTATGCTTAAAATTTTTCAAAAAAAAATCCTAATTACTGTATATCAATACGTAGCGTTAAACACTGTTAGCATAGTACAATTTTATGTACGTAACAGTCACACTTTTATTACAGATGCGTGCGTACGTACGTACGTACGTAATTTTTCAAACGAATTTGTGTTCATAATTTTGACAAGGTTAGGTGTAACGTAGCAATCTACAGTACATTTTTTTTACTGGCTTTTAATCAGGTTAGGGATGGATCAGTCCGGTCCAGACCGTCCGGTCTTAATAAGACCGGTCCATTATGTTTTTTGGTCCGGTCTCAGTCCCAGAAACGGTCCCGACCTCTAACTATCCTATTGGCTAGCGGAGAGAATTAGATAATATATCATCGGTGGGTACATCTATGTGCCCACCGCCAAATTTGGGTTTGTATGACGATCGATGCATAGTTATGCATGATCATGTTACGCAACCAATCAACGATCAATTTACTACTGTATCAATTTTTAATAAGTTTATACACAATATATAACAAAACGAAACCTCGATATAATAAAGTATTTATCGCTTAATAAAACCCTTAATATATATATATGCTTTGGAGTTTCGTTATATGAATTATTATATTTCGCAACGATTATTT